TACCTTCATATATCTGAAAAAAAAGACAACTTCAGTAATCAATGGATAAACAAATATTAAGTAATACTTACAACTTGTGAGGGAAAGACCTCATCTTTCTCTCGATATGAATCTAAATTTTGATAAACCTAAAGTTCAAGAAAGAAGAATATTGAATCCAAGAATTACATGATTGTGTATCATTTACTGCATGTGGAATTAATTGATCTAATTTTTTCGTGAAACTATGGAACTTTTTTTCAAGTTTTTGTAAAATCATGTGATGCATATCATCAATTGTTTGATAAACTACACTAGCTGGAAATATATAACAATGATTATATTAAAATAATATTAAAAAATGACTTCATTTCTACACTATAAGTAGTTTTTGGAAAATCTATTGTATTCAATAAAGTCAAATGATTTTAAATAAACTTTTTAATAGAATTAACTGTTAGATGATTCTAAACTATTCTGATTCACAAATTAATCGGAACAGTCACACATACCTTCTACGTTTTCATTTTCTTTATTATTTTCATTTATTAAAACATCATCTAAAAAGCAATATGATTACAATATAAGCGAATACAATTAAATGGAAAAGTTACTTTGGATTGACGAAAAATTATCAGAAAAACGACGACATTCTAAATAAAATAGGTGGTATTCATAATTTCTTATTTAAAATCATGATGGCACTGCCCACTTTTATTTGTCGACACATCTTTTTGTGTCGCGGCAGTATTATAATTGACGTCTTCTACAACAGAATTGAAATAATATTTTTTACAAATTTACTTCTTATTTGTGGTACGTATATAACTCAAGGGGGAAAAAGCAGATTTCAAGATTTCAAGATTCTCAAAGATTCCGAAAGATTTCCAAAGATTTCTAGAGATTTCTAAAGATTTCAAAAGATTTCAGGGGTTAAAATCTGCTTTTTTCCCCCTTGGATTTCTAAAGATTTCCAAAGATTTCTAAAGATTTCCCAAGATTTCTAAAGATTCCCAAAGATTTCTAAAGATTCCCAAAGATTTCTAAAGATTTCCAAAGATTTCTAAAGATTTTCAAAGATTTCTAGAGATTTCCAAAGATTTCAGGGATTAAAATCTGCTTTTTCCCCCTTGATATAACTGCTTTATCAGTTTAAACTTTAACTTATAGTCAAAATAAATTATTTTATAGTATGAATCTGCTGTCAAGGGAAAAAAATTCTTTGCATATGTTTACCATCGTTATTTTCAACCATCAATGAAGACAATTTTCTTTTTTTTGTTAATGATGATTGTTCTGTACAAAAGAAACAGAAAAAGCAATTATTATCACTTGTTTATGAGAAAATCATAAGCATACTAGGTATTTCGTTCTGATCATTATCATCATTCATTGTATCATCATCTTCAAAATCATTTATTGCATCTAAAATATCTAATCGAAACATTAGATTATCACAAAAAAAGAAATCCCAATGCCTGTGGCATGGTCAAGCAGAATGATATGAACAAGCATTACCTTCTTGATCGCTAGTAATGTTCTCCTCCTGTAATTCCATTTGTTCATACATATTGTTACATTGACTATAAGTACCTACGATCAAAGCAGAAATCGTTCACTAATTTATTATGACTTTCAAAATAATAGGAACACATATGTGACATCAAATTGAAAAATCTAGTTTAGAAATTATGCGAATCTTATCTTTTCAAATAACAATTTGATAGATCCATAACAGCTGGATGAAATTTAACATTCTATTGTTCGCGCGATTCGATATTGCCATTGACTACTTTATAGAACGATAAAATATATGTCCTACCTTTAGCTTCGATTATTGCAAAGCGACGTTTTGAACCAGTTCCAACAATTGCTTTGTCTTCAATGATCGATCCAATACTTGAACGTTTAATCACAATTAATTCATCATTATCCTCAAAACGTAGTAGATAATTTTCTTGACTATATAAATTTGGTTTTGTTGGTGTAAATTTTTTCGGTGGATTTTTTTTTCGTGGAGATCGAATCATTTTTGATGATCAAAAAAAATCTAAAACAGGTCATTTAAGTAAAAAAATAAAATGAAATCAATTTTTAATTAGAATTATTTGATTCTCCATTTCAAATAACTCAATACATTATACATAATAATTAATACAACATTATATTGATATACATTTAGTTATTTGAATTTGAAAAATACTAAAAAAATCTGAAAAACTTAGAATTTATTCTTTGTGCATAAATGAAGCATGGTTCCTATAATATAGTTCAATAAAAATAGCTCTAATTCCAACATTCGCAATTAAACTATTTTGATGATTACCTTTCAGTATTCTATTTTTCCAAATTTTCTGAGAATAATATACGTGACAAAATTATTGCTTAATATACAAGGTCCAATAAACAGAAAATAGGTTGTCAAAAAATTTATTTTTTTATGTTTTAAAATAACTGAAATAAAAACTCATAACAAAGAATACTTTTAATCGTGTTCGTGGTATGCAGAAACTTCTGTTACAATTAATTGTTGTTGAAACTCAAATGTAATACAATGTTTTATAACATGATTAATATTAATAATATCAAATAAATCAGATGGTTCTTTCGACAACAGACTAAAACAATTATCTAATGGTTTTTCTAATAAAGAAAAATATGGTGATGTTTTAAATAAATAGCTGAAATTTTGATTTTGTGTATAACGTTGAACGACAGCATAATTTCTGTTGATACATGAAAAAAATAATATAATTCTTCCGAAATATTTAATATAGTCATTTGCTGATTTATTATACGATATAAAATAACTATTTGATTTTCCTCGTTTATTATAAATTAATGAATGAAATATATTGTTACGTATAACACATCGTCGATAAATAGAGATACAAGTCAAAGGATTTAAACATGTACATATTTTATCATGGTGTTGTATAATAGTGGGATAATCATTAATAATAATATCAACATTGAGGTCTATTGGTTTTGAAATTGTTTTGTATTTTGTATGGGAAATTTGTGCGTGTAAATCAAAATCAATAGAATAATAATGCACTATAAGATCAGAATAGTAATTCGAACCGTGAATATTTTTACTTATATGACCTATTAGATCTTCTTGATAGAAACAACCAATATTCGCTAACGAACCATAATTCTGGTATTGTGTACCAAAATGATGATGCATATGAAGCACATAATTTTGAATATCACTATAAAATATTCCATGATCTTTATAATATTGTTCAAATAATTTATCAGCTAGTGCTTGTGTTTTATCATCAAACATTGGAGGCTGTGAATGATACAATCTAATTGAACAAATAAATAAAGCAAAATGAGCAAGTTGTTGACTATCAATAAATTCAAATGATAATGGTAAAAATCCATAGAATAGAATGTTTCGTAATTCTACTGCTTTTATAAAACGAAACTCTTTAAATGGTTTCATTTGACGATTGAAGAAATGTGGAAATGATTGGTACTTTAATTTATTATCAAATCATTCACGATCTGATGGTTTAAGTCGTTTATAAATTGCCCTCAAAACAGTTTTTGTATGTCTTAACAAAGTGACATGTTGATAATCAATTAATATTGCATGTGGCAATGGTATGTCCAGTATATCTTGTAGAATTGAAATTCCTGTAATAAAAAAAGTTTTGTGTCATTTAAGCTTTCCTCCTCCCCCTCCTCAGAAACGAACTTTGTTATTTTCTCATCCGATTTCAACCAAAATTTCAGAGAATGGTAGTCTTGACTAGAATAGCTTATGGCTAAAATATCTCCCCCATATCTCAAAGATATGCGCAAGTTCCAGTCAATTCATTACCCTTCACGCGGGAAAGGTTTTCCCAATGGGGTTACTAGTTAATCATGTCGGGGTGGTTTTTAAATTGTAGAGTGACCTTAGGGCTAGATCCTCACAGGCTCCGATTTTTGAATTTCACTTTGTTTGATTTTTAAAAATACTTTTTCGAAAAACGTTCAAATTCAAAGTGCTAATAAATATGAAATATCTGAGTCTTTATTTCAGCAACAGAGAAATTCAAAAATCGGAGCCTGTGAGGATCTAGTCCTGACTGTCCTCTATTCAACAAAAAAATTATCCCTTCTCTATTGCGTCATTATTAAGAAATCCTTCCCCGCGTAAACGATAAACTCGAAAAAATTGATTTTGAAAAAAACGAAAAACAAATTTAGAAATGGATTTTTTATTCAAGCTGAAAAAACAACATATGAAAATGGCATATTTTCAGAATTTTGTCGATTTTTAAAACAAAAAGTGCAACTACAAAATAAGTGGCATTATACAAATTGTAGAGCTTTTCACGCTGCATCTTCTGATATATATTTTTTTAATACAATGTATTAAAATAGAAAAGCAACGTTTTTCCGTTTTTGAAAGACTTCCGAGAATGTCTCGAAAAACATGATAGTAGGTCCCCAATCTCCTTTGGTAAGTTTATTAAAACCTGGCCTTTTTGGAAAAAAGACATATATTTTCTGAAAGAGGAGGCTTCGGCGCATCTTCCTATGATAAAATCTCAACTTCGAGTTTTCTTCGAAAAAATCGGTTTGCTGAGAGGGTGGCCTCCCTTAAAAAGAAAAGTTAAATCTCTTTTTTTTCAGGAAATTTACTTCAAATATTTTTAATATTGCTCAAGGATCTATTTTTTTATTTAAATATCTTTAAAATCTCGTATAACATTTGTGCACTATTAAAAAATATATCTCAACAAATACATTTTAAAGAATGTTGTATTAATAATTCACCTTTATGCCCGTAAATATTTTCTTTTGTTGTTTCAGCTTGCTTTGATTGTTTGTAATATTTCTCCATATGACGAAGAAATACTTTTTTTCCGTAAAAGTATTGCCTTTTTCTTCCAATAGCAATACCACGTACATAACAGAAATTGCAACAATAATAACCACCATGTCCAATAAAATTAAGTATTTTACTTAAGGCTGGTGAGTCACCAGTAATTGATAGAAATTTAATATTAATACGATGATTTTCATTTATTATTATCCCTAAAGTAGATGAAACAAAAATGTTATTCATTCTATCATATCGAAAATCATACTAACTGCGTTAAACTAAATTTATTTGTATCTGTCACAGAATAAATTAATAATATAAACATTTACGAAGGTACTAACAAATAAGAGGGAAAGATAATAAAAAACTATGATTAGCGTATATCTAAAATTATATCAACTTCTTAAAATTTGTTTAGAGTTTTTGTTTTTATAATTCGATTTATATGCGGTAATTATTCTTTTTTTTTCTATGTGAACAATGACGAAAGTTTATATTTTTCTAATACGTTTCATATAAACCAATCATAAATTAATCATTCTTTTTCTCCTTTTTCTACTCGCAATAGTTTATCGAATCAATACATATATATATATTGAAAAACAAAACAAAGAAACATTTTATTATTAATATCTATTGTTAGATATTAATCGAAGCTTCAAGTTCGGAATCAAATATAATATATCGCTTCAAATTTCGTTTGTTTTAAGGAATTATCATTAATGTAGTAAATCTGACCTTTCATTTTTATCATTTTGATCAAATTTGCACAATTTCG